GCTGCCCATCAGTGGACGCATTGCCATCCACGACAACACGGAGATCGGGAACTCCCTGTCCAACAGCTATAATCTGCAGCCCGGCTTCTACTACCAGTTCTACATTAAACGCCAGTCCACACAAATGTTGGGAAAGCCGTTCGCAACCAATTGTTTCGATTACGTGGCAGAAGAGGGACAGCGTCTAAACCAAACGCAGGATTTCGCGTCTATTCCTCTGTCGCGAAAGGTATGTCCTGTTGTCGGCCTTTACTCCCATTCACTGACCGCTCGCTCGTTGACAGCAATGCGGGTCCGGCTGTATGTCTCGGTTCACAATCAATCAGTGCTTTTGTTGGCCGCCGGAACTGCCGTACGTCCGCAACAACGGCCTCGACGTCAACCGAGCGCTCACGTGGTGTCAGTGGAGGTTCCAGGAGGGTATGTATGCCTCGGACTTTATGTCCAGAGACTACGATTGGCGTTCCCTTAACAGCGCCGAACCTGTACGGCATGTGTTGGGACAAGAAGGCGCGCCTCAAGTGTGCGATGCAATGCCAGCCCTCGTGTTGGACCGATCACTACGACCTGTCCGTCCAGAAGCTGCAGTTCGAGTACTACGGAAGACCTGTAAGCGAGACATGGATGAGAGTCGGTGTCTATTATAAGGCCTCTATTCTTAGGACTGGGATTCGGAGGACGAGAAACTGATGAACACTTCGGCCGTCGTGTCGATCAGGTATTTGACGACTGAGCACACCATCAATAAGTATTCGCCGAAGTTTATCATATTGGATATGTTATGCTATGTGGGAGGACTGGTATCCATGTATACGGGAATATCTCTCATAGCTATCTATGATCTAATTATTTTGTCCTGGTTTATTATTAAACACAAATTTTTGGGAAATAAATAACATTCATATGAAAAAATTTCTAAACATTTTTAATTCTATAAATTGATTATAAATATTAAAGTCGATTATAAAAGTTGGAGTTTTATGCATAATAAATATAAAAATAAAATAAAATAAATATAATAAATTATTTGACTCGATAAATTAAATTATTGGCATAAGATTTATTAAAATGTATTTATATTTGCAAATCTAAACAACACTTTCTTGGACTCTGGTCTTCGAGCCGACGACAAACCCTCCGATTAAATCGGTTTCCAGTTTGTAATTATTGGCCACTATTTGAGTCCCAGTTAGCGATCCGTGAGCTATGAGTACAGCCGTCTCCTCATCCGACAAATGTTTCTGTGATTTCTCGTCTATAATAGGAAACNACATTCAAATCAATAATGAATTACTTATTTCGTAGATATTCTTCAGGAATGGATCCACAGGTTTGCCATCAATTGTGTTGGCATTGCTTTGGTTGGCATTCAACTGAAGGCCGAGTCCTCCCAAATAGTCTGTCGAAACGACAACCTTCTGGTCATTCCTCTGAGCACTGATACTAACGGTTCCGACAAAAGAGATCTCGAGTTTTAATTTTTCCTGAGAGTTGTCCCCAACAAAGGATTTTAACGCCGATTGTTCACCTGTTTTGAGATTAAATGCATTCAATATAATTAATAATAAAACGATTGATTCATTCAAACAAACCATTAGTTAATTGTAAGAGAAGTCCATTGGGATGAGAGTCAGCGCCGTTTGGATTGAGTCTAGAAATAATAAAATGAATGAATGAATGGATAATTGAAATTAAATTTTTAGTAAATAACTTACGATTTCATCAGATTTTTAGTTAATTGTTGTAAATCTGTACCACCGATGACTGCAACCGAACAGACACTTAAAACAATGACAGAGAAAACTGAAGACATTTTCAGATTATTCTTGATATTTGAATCACTTTTTAATATTTAATATTAATTATAAATATATTAATTTATTAATTCAATTAATTGTTTGTTTGCTGCAAATTGCATCTATTTATATAATATTATATTTAATTCAGATTATTCTTGATATTTGAATCACTTTTTAATATTTAATATTAATTATAAATATATTAATTTATTAATTCAATTAATTGTTTGTTTGCTGCAAATTGTATCTATTTATATAATATTATATTTAGCATAAGAATAAAGGGAAAAGTAAAACTTTTATCAGTAATAACAGATGTATATGACTAATTGTTTTGATAAATAATTTTTGATAGTATTGTGACTACTATGATGTTAATTACTGATATTGAATAAGACAGGTACTTTTGGTCTATCATAGTCTAGAAACATAACATATGTCTAAAATCTCGTTTAAAAATAGAATTAAAAATAATAATTACAAACAATTTCTGAAATAATTAAATGTTTACACAATATTTATGAATCAATATCTTTTATGTGTCTAAATCTACTTCATTATCAATAAAAGAGATACTTTTAAACCAATAATTGCATTAACTCTAATTAATATAAAAGTATATAAAGAGAAACAATTTTATAAGAAATATAATAGAATATAATTTTAATAAATATTATTTTTAAATTATTTCTGGAGGAATATATTTGTAAAATTACAAAATGATTAAAATATTGATGGCATTGGTGTCTGCCTTAGCCCTGGTCACAGCCAAACCTACCGATGATTTGGAGACAATTGCTAATAATTTTATTTCAAAGTAATACCAACTTTTATAATACTGTACTGTATTAATATTGATATTTTTAAATATTCTTAATATTTTATTTTTTGACAGAATTCCGGCACATTTTGGTGGAAAGGCTGACCACAACTCCATTAGTGATAATCTACTGAAGAGACCGTCCAATGGAGTGAATGACCAGAATCGGGAATTCCTTTCTCTGGGAATCGGAGGTTTCGGAGGACTGAAAGTGTCGGTCACGAGAGGGGACAGTCAGGTGAACGTCAGTACTATTTATGGTTTGGGCGCCGGATCTCTGACTGTCGCTGAAAGTGAGACACAAAATGGCAAACAAATCAAAGACATTACACAACCATTAGTTGACAAATGTATGCAAAATATTGTTTATTTAATTTATTAAAAGATTTATTATAATTATATTATTCATTGAAATAGACGTCAAACCTATTGAGGAGAAAGATGGCGGTGACGGCACTCTAGTAGTGGTGGCCGGAGAGGAAAGGGATGGCACTCTTGTGGTTCATAG